TTACATATAAGAGTATGTCATCTACAAACCCATAATTTTACTTCTGTATAATTTGGATTTTTAAAATTTATTTTTCTTAGCTAATCACTCTGGCTAGAATATCCAGTATGTATCACTTTGATTGATTTCAAAATGTTGAACCAACATTGAAGCCCAGGAATAAATGCAACTTGGTCATGGTGAATAATCCTTTTTAATGTACGGGTGGGTCCTATTAGCTAGCATTTTGGTGAATATTTTGGCATCCATGTGCACTATTGACTAGAAGTAGTGAAAGTGGGCATTCTTGTCTTGTTCCTGGAAATTTTAGAGGAAAACTTTCAGTCTTTCACCTTGAATGTGATGTTAGCTGTGGGCTTTTCATATATGGCTTATATTATGTGGAAGTAGTTTCCTTCCATTGCCAGTTTGTTGAGTGTTTTTATCATGAAAGGGTGTTGGATTTTGTCAGATGCTTTTTCTGCACCAATTGGAATGATGCTTTTTCCTTCATTCTGTTAATGTATGTTACATTAATTTTTTTTCTGAACCATCCTTGCATTCCAGAAATAAATTCCACTTGGTCATGGTGTATAATCCTTATAATATGCTGTTGAATTCGGTTTGCTAGTATTTGTTGATGATTTTTATTTACATAAGCTCATAGAGTATATTGATCCCTAGTTTTCTTATAATATTCTTACTCTGGCTTTGGTATCAGAGTAATGCTGGCCTCAAAGAATGAGTTTGGAAGTCTTTACTCCTCTTCATGTCTTTGGAAGAGTTTGAGGAGGAGTTGTGCAAATTCTTTAAATGTTTGGTAGAATTCACCACAGGCACTATCAGGTTCTAGGCCTTTTCTTGTTGGAAGGTTTTGGATGGATTACTGATTTAGTAGACTTATTAGCTATGGGTCTGTTCAGATTTTATATTTCTTTGTTATTCAGTCTGGTAGGTTGTGTATTTCTTAGAATTTGTCCATTTTATCCAGTTTATTAGCCCATTTGTTGGCATGCAGTTGTTCACAGAACTCTCTTATAATCCTTTTTACTCCTGTATACTTGGTAATAATGTGGCACATTTTATTTCTGATTTTAGTTACTGGAGTCTTCTTTTATTTTTCTTAGTCAATCCAAATAAAAGTTTGTCAGTTTTGTTGATCTTTTTCAATGACTCTTGGTTTTGTTGATTCTATTATTTTGTTTATCTCTGCTCTAATCTTTCTTATTTTCTTCTTTCTCCTAGCTTTGGGTTTAGTTTGCTCTTTTTCTAGTTTATTAAGATATAATGTTAGCTTGCTGAACTCTTTCTTCTTTTTTAATGTAAGCATCAATGATATACATTTCCCTTGTAGCACAGCTTTGCTGTATCTTGTAAGTTTTGGAATGTTGTATTTTTATTCCCATGGGTTTCAAGATAACTTGCAATTTCTTCTCTGACCCATTGGTTAAGAAGAAATTTCTTAACTTCCACATATTTGTGGATTTTTTCCAGTTTTCATTTTACTATTGATTTCTAACTTCATTATGATTAGGAAAGATAATTTGTATGATTTCAGTCTTTAAATTTATTAATGCATATTTTATGGACAACGCATAGTCTATCCTAGACACATGTTTACTTTTCTAATATACTTTAGGATTTAAAAAAAATTCTTAAGGTCAGTTTGCCAAACTGCATAATCTAAGAGAGCAGTGCTACACAAGACTGCTTATTTCAGACACCAGCTGAAAGCTTAGGGATCTTCAAGGCCACTCTGTTTTCTGATCAGCCGGGTACAGAGAACAGGATACCTGTAATCACCCTCAGGTTTTATGATACACAACAGTGGCTCACAGAGGTTATATTATGATTACAGTTTTGTTTTTAACAAAAGGTACAAAGAACCAGCCAGAAGTAGAGGGCACAAAGGGCAAGGTCTGGGAGTGCTGCAAACATGAAGGGGCCCTCCAGACATCTTAGTATTCAAAAGAATAAGCTCTCAAGAGAGCATCAGTGTATAGGGTTATTTATTTTTTTGGATTTTGGTTTCATTATGGAGGCATGATTGAGTGAGTCGTTGCCCAGTGCCCAACATGATTCAATCTCCAGCCTCCTTCCCCTCCCAGAAGTCAGACTGATATCATGAGGGTTCAAAGTACCAACCCTTTAGTCACATGGTGGTTCTTTCTGGCATGGCTAGCCTCCATCCTAAATCATCACATTAGCAAAAACTATAAAGGGGCAATTTGTGAGTCATAAACTATAGTTATGAGCTATCAGGTATGGTTCCAAGGGCTCACTATGAATAACAATGACACTCCTTCCAGGAATATAGAGGGTTTAGAGTGTTACCACTTGGTAGCCATAGACAAAGTCCTGCCAAAATCTTTATTACACAATTAAAAAAATTTACAATGAAGTTCTGATTGTGAATTTAGAATTAATGGCTATACATAGTTGGTTCTTCATATAGAAAAGCAAAGTATGCATCTTCTCCCTTTATGCAAATTTATGGGGGGCAGTGGGTCCCTCGTTAGAATTATAAAGCTTTTGCTCATTTCTTGTAAAGTATTTTTAGGATATTTTCCCTCATCATTGTTGTTGTCAATGGTAGTTACCTTCTGAGGTTATTTTTTTGTGCTTTCTTTTTTTTAAAGATTTTATTTATTAATTCATGAGAGAGAGAGAGAGAGAGAGAGGCAGAGATGTAGGGAGAGGGAGAAGCAGGCTCCATGTTAGGAGCTCGATGTGGGACTCAATCCCCGGACCGCCAGATATGACCTGAGCCAAAGGCAGATGCTCAACTGCAGAGCCACCCAGGCGTTCCTCTTTTATTGCTTTTTAAATTGATTCTAAAATTGCAAAATGAGGGGCACCTGGGTGGCTCAGTAGGTTAAGCATCTGCCTTTGGCTCAGGTCATGATCTCAGGGCCCTGGAATTGAGTCCTGCATCAGGCTCCCTGCTCAGCAGAAAGTCTGCTTCTCCCTCTCCCTCTGACCCTCTGCCCTGCTTCGCATGCACACTCTCTGTCTCAAATAAATAAAATCTTCTAAAACATTGCAAAATGATACATTCTTACTTGAAAAAATAAGTATACCAGTAATCTCCTTTCTACATAGCTTCTACATTCTTTTATGCACCTTTTTTAATGTAATGATTCATTTCTGGTGTTTTGCAAGTAACAACATACACATAATTCTTTTTAATGGTCACTATGGTTAGCTGTTATTTTTATTACTTTTGTGACATTTCTTGACTAATTTTCCAGGTTTTTTATTCTTTTATTTTATTCTTTTTCAGCATAAGTATTCTTTTTCAGTATAAATCATTGAACAAGTTGATTTTCATTACAATCTTCAATTTAATATCAGGTTGTATTAATGTTCTCAGACATGATTTTTTTTAACATTTATTCCTTCTTAATCTCTTGGTTCTCTTTTCCCAAATATCTTACTTAATGTTAGAGTGCTCTAGGGTTCATTACTTGCTCCTTTCTCTTATCTTCTCTTTATCTACACTCATTCTCTTGGTAATGTAGTCTCTTTAACTACCATGTATATGCTGTCAATTCCTAATTTAAAATCTCTAGTCCAGACCTCTGTCTTAAACTCAGTCTCATGGGTCCCGTCTGCCTTTTCAACATTTCAATGTCTAAAAAACACTTTATTATTTTCAAAACTGAATTCCAGATCTTCCATGTCTTTCCACTTAAACCTGCTGTGCCCATGGCCTTCCCCATCACTTTTTTTTTTAAAGATTATTTATTTATTTATTTATTTATTTATTTATTTATTTATTTATTCACAAGAGACACAGAGAAAGAGGCAGAGACATAGGCAGAGGGAGAAGCAAGCTCCCCACAGGGAGCCTGATGTGGGGCTTGATTCCAGAACCCTGGGATCATGTCCTGAGTTAGAGGCAGACACTCAACCACTGAGCCACCCAAGTGCCTCCCCCATCACTGTTGATGCTAATCCATCCTGCCATTGCTCAGATCATAAACTTTGAATGCTTCTTTGTCTCATTTTTCTGTTAAGTTTCATAACCAATCTATCAGGATATTGTCCTGGCATTTCCTACAAAACATACCTAGAATCTGACCATCTCAGTATACCTCCATTGCTAGCTTTCTGGTCTAGACCCTCATTGTCTTCACCTGGATTACTACAATCATAGGTCCCCTTGCTTCTTCTCTGTTCGCCACCTTTCAATATTTTTATTAAACTGTAAATGGATATCACTCCTCTACTCCACAAACACTTCAGTAGTTCTCTGTCCCACTCAGGAAATCATATAAAGTTTAAGTATTCTTATCTTTTATCTCTTGACCTCATCTCTTCCTACACTCACCTTCCTGCTATTCCTCAAACATGGAAACATGTTTCTACTTTTAGGCTGTTTCCTTTGCCCAAAATGCTCTTTCTCCATATATCTAAGTGACTAACTTCTTCACTTCCTTCAGATCTTTGCTTAAATGTTAACTTGCTATTTATTCCTACCTCTAACGTTGCCAACATTCCTAATCTCTTTTACCCTGCTTTTCCTTTTCTGTAGCTCTTAGTACTTTCTAATATACAATAAAATTACTCATTTGGCATTTATTTCCTATCTCCCCAAAGAATATAAGGTCCACAAAAGTAAGGGTCTTTGTTTTGTTTACTATAATATTAAAAGCATTTAGAAGAGTATATGGCACAAGGTTCAATGAATATTCTTGAAAAAAGCAACTATAAGAATGGAGGTTATTTCAGTGCCTATATTTATGCATACATACATAAAATTATAGCCACGTCCATCCACCTCCATAATTCTTTATTTACTGGAGATTTACCTTACTGACTTTCTTATAATTCTAGTCATTCCTTCTCAAGTTTCTTTGTGACCTATTTTGTTTCTCACAAACATCAGAACTTAAAAAGCCAATGTTCTTGTGGGTTTTATCTATTAAATTCACATACTCCATTTTTTGAATGCACTTTCATAAATGTTCCTTGTGGTACATGAGAGAGGAGACCGTTTTTTAATTATTATTTTTCAGGCTGGGAATCTATGTGTGAGACTGAAGAACTAACTTCAAAGCAGGACATCTATGAAGCACAATCATCACAAAAGATAATAGAAAAACTTACAAGCTATAGCCTTGAGTATTCTAGTTTAAGAGAAGAATGGAAATGTGAGGGCCATTTTGAGAGACAGCCAGTAAGTGAGAAGGCATGTTTCAAGGAAGAGACAATCACTGATGAAGAAGCCCGTATTAATAGAAGAGCACAAGAATATAACAAATCTTGGGGAAGTTTCCATCCAAACACATTGCTTCATACACAACAGATAATCACCAAAGAGGAGAAAGTACATAAACATAATACACATAAGAAAAGCTTTAAAAGAAATTTAATGGCCGTTAAGCCCAAGAGTATCTATACAGAGAAGAAACTTTTGAAATGTAATGACTGTGAAAAAGTCTTTAGCCAGAGCTCATCTCTTACTCTTCATCAAAGAATTCATACTGGAGAGAAACCATATAAATGTATAGAATGTGGAAAAGCCTTCAGCCAGCGATCAAATCTTGTTCAACATCAGAGGATTCATACTGGAGAGAAACCCTATGAATGTAAGGAATGTAGGAAAGCCTTCAGTCAGAATGCACATCTTGTTCAACATCTGAGAGTTCATACCGGAGAAAAACCTTATGAATGCAAGGTATGTAGGAAAGCCTTTAGCCAGTTTGCTTACCTTGCTCAACATCAGAGAGTTCATACTGGGGAGAAACCTTATGAATGTATTGAATGTGGGAAAGCATTTAGCAATCGATCATCCATTGCTCAACACCAGAGAGTTCATACTGGTGAGAAGCCTTATGAATGTAATGTCTGTGGGAAAGCATTTAGCCTTCGTGCATACCTTACTGTACACCAGAGAATACATACTGGAGAGAGACCCTATGAATGTAAGGAATGTGGAAAGGCTTTCAGCCAGAATTCACATCTTGCTCAACATCAGAGAATTCATACTGGAGAAAAACCTTATAAATGTCAAGAATGTAGGAAAGCATTCAGCCAGATTGCCTACCTTGCCCAACATCAAAGAGTTCATACTGGAGAGAAACCCTATGAATGTATTAAATGTGGGAAGGCTTTTAGCAATGACTCATCCCTTACTCAACATCAGAGAGTTCATACTGGAGAGAAGCCTTATGAATGTAACGTTTGTGGAAAGGCTTTTAGTTACTGTGGATCCCTTGCCCAACATCAGAGAATTCATACTGGAGAGAGACCCTATGAATGTAAGGAATGCAAGAAAACTTTCAGGCAGCATGCACACCTTGCTCATCATCAGAGAATCCATCTTGGGGAGTCACTCTCACCACCCAATCCAGTCAATCACCAAGTCCTCTAGACACTATCTCATAAATATTTCCAGAATTTATACTCTTTTCTCTCTCTCTAATGTTGTTGCCCTAGTCTAAGATTTATCTCATTTGGATCACCATGCTGTAGCTTTCTAACAGGTCTTCCTATATCAACTTTGGTCCCCTTAAATTCATTTCCCACCATACCCCGAACTTATTTTTTTCTTTTTGAGTATAAGAATACATCACTGCCTCCATTTAAAACTTTTTTTTTTTTTTTTGGTTTACTGTTGTTCTTAAGCTAATATCCACAGTCTGAAAATTGTCTATGAGGCACTTCATTATATGATTCTTATATACCTTTTGGCCTTATTTTATTCCAGTCTCCTTATCTGAGCACTAGGCACTTCCCAGGACTAAGAGCTTCGATTCTGGAAAATCATAGCTCTACCACTACTGTGGCATTGTGTGACTTTGAGTAATTTGTTTGACTTGTATAAACCTCAGGGTTTTCTTTAATTCTTAAGATAGGGATAATAAAGGATACTGTATTGTAGAAATGTGATTATTAAATGAAATAGTGTCTGTTGTAGATTGATACATATTAAGTAGTAAATTTGCATGTAAAGTGCTTCACATAGCACATCAAATATAGCAGATATCCAATAAATCGTAATGGCTAACATGTATTGAGTGTGTACTATGCATCAGGCACTGTTCTACATACTCAACATATATTAGCTCACTCCTCTCACAACTAGAAGAAAATTCCTAGGGGGACAAAGTAGAACATCCCTGAGAGGCAGCAGGTCAGAATTGAGAAAAACCCCAAAATTTTAGAAACATAAGTGGAGTCTTCATACTCTAGATAAGTAACCAATATAGACACATGTAATAGAACTATTCACACCCTCAGCCAGTTTCAGGAAGTTTCTAAAGAGAGTTGGATAAACTAATCAACATAAAGAAAATGAGGATTCACTGAGAAGAATACAGAACTCACATTTACATCAAGAAAAAAATAGAGTATCACAACTAACTGCAAAAAAAACAATAAATATAGAAATTCATACTATTCCATAAAAAGGCAGGCAATTGTGGGGTGAATTTAGGTAAATTTAAAAAGCATTTAAATTGCTTCATACCACAGAAAAATTATAAAGTTTGTAAATTTTTAAGTAGTGGTTGTAAAATTGAAACCAAAAGCGAACTGAAGGAAAAAAGTTAGACAAATATATATAGGCTTTCATATATTTTATATATTTCAAATATATATATATATATATATGCTTCCACTCATTCAGTGAATATTGAGTAGCTACTGTTTGTTGGAAACTGTTTTATATATGAGGAGACAATGATCCATACTAAGATTATGTCCTCATAGAGTTAAATTGAAGTTCAAAGGCTGAAATTGTTTATACTTAAATATAAAACAATCGATTTTCTAGACCCAGCAAAATGAAGAATAATAAACTGAGGAGTATCATATAGTCCAGGCTCAAGAGACTCAGGATAATAAAGTTATTACCAATTCACAAATTCACTGCAGTTAGAACCAAAATTCCTCAGGTCTTTTTGCCCTTTAATTTCACAGCTTTGTTCTGAAATTCATGAAGTGTGAATTCTTAAGAGCAAGAAAATTGTTGAATCTGACCTATTTGTAGAAGTTCTGCATATGATAAACATGATTTATCCCTATAGAGAATGGATGGAGTTGGAGCTATTAGAATATTTGTTTATATCCATCACAGTAAGGGATATGCAAATAAAACCACAGTGAACTCTTTCAAAATCATCACTTTGCCAAAAGCATCACAGAGCCAATTACTGGAAACATGTGGAGCAGTAGGAATGTTCATACAGTGCTATTGGAAGTAGTTGTATTTAGGATAATTTAGCAATATCTAGTAAAGTTGAAAATGTGGATACTCTCTGACCCAGCAGTTCCATACTTAAACCTCTTCTAGTCTTTCCTCGTGTGTTTAGGGTGATGTACATGAAAGTCTATTTCAGCATTATTTGAGAATGAAAAGCTTAAAGCAATCAAAATAACCATTAGGGTGGATATAAGCTATAGCCCAAGTTAAAACGAATGAAGTAGAGCTACTTCTATTAACATGGATAAATCTTAATATTAATGAAATTGAACTAGTGAGTATTTTGTATGAGATGGTACCACTTATATCAATTTTAAAAATATGCAAATTGATGATATGTGTATTTTCCATGGCTAAATATCATAGATTTATTGTTACAACAGTCACGGAAATAATAATTAAGTCCAAAACAGTGGTGACATCTGGAGGGGGAGAAAAATGAGACTGAGAAAAGGAGGCAAAAGGGAGATACCTTTTAATCATTTCTTTCTTTAAAAAATAAGCAAATATGGCCAATTCTTATAAATTGATAAAGCTGGTTGTTGGTTTATAGGTAGGTTCTTATTCTCTGTATCAGTTTCATAATAAAAAATAAAGAACAGTTAAATATTTGCTTTTGTCAGGTTATTTCCTTACTATATACTTCAGGCATGCCACTGCTGTTTGCATCCCTATACATCATCCTCTTCAAAGAGAAGCTGACACATAATTGATTTCAGATGCAATCACTGTTAGCAATTTGGTGTATCAGTGTTTTGACAATGACTATATATTGCCTACTTACTACGTGTTTTTCCCACAACAGTGTTTTTCTCCCTCCCCAGCTTTATTGAGGTATGACTGACAGATTAAGATGGTATATATGTCAGGTGTTCAATGTGATGTTTTGACATACACTGTGAAATGATGACCACAACCAAGCTAATTAACTGTCACCTCATATAGTTATTTGTGTGTGTGTGTATGTGTGTGTGTGTGTGTATGTGTGTGTGGTGAGAATACTTGAGCTCTCTGCAAATTTCGAGTACACATTATTATTAACTATAGTTACCAGGTTTTACATTAGGTCTTCAGAATTTACCCTTATAATTGAAAGTTTGTACCTCTTGATGAAAAATCCTTTCCCCCAGTCCCCAGCCTCTTGTCCACCATTCTATGTTACTGTGAGTTAAACTTATTTTTTACAGTCTGTGCATGAGATCATATGGTATTTGTTTTTCTGTGTCTAGCTTATTTCATTTATCATTATGCTCTCCATGTTCATCCATGTTTTTGTAAACAGCAAGATTTCCTTTGTTTTTAAGGCTGAATAATATCCCAGTGTGTGTGTGTGTGTGTGTGTGTGTGTGTTTTCCTTTATCCATCTGTCTGTAGACACTAAGGGTTTTTTTTCCATATCTTGGCTACTGTAAGTAATGCAATGAAGATGGACATGCACATAAGTTTCAGATCCTGACAGCATTTCCTTTGAATATATACCCAGAATCCGTGTTATGTAGTAGTTCTATTTTTAATTTTTTGAGGATCCTACATACTGTATTCCATAATGCCTATACCAATTTACATTCCTACCAAAAGTTTACAAGGGTTGCCTTTTCTCCACATCCTCACCAATAGTTGTTATCTTTTGACTTTTTGATAATAGCCATCTAATAGGTATGAGGTAATACCTCTTTGACATTTCTGTGGGTTTGGTTAGCATTTCCCTTATAATTAGTGATGTTGAGCATCTTTTCATTTACCTATTGGCCATTTGTGTATCTTCTTTTGCAAAACATTTGGGTCCTTTGCCCATTTTTGTTATGCACTTTTTTTTGCCATTAAGTTATATTAGTTCCTTATATATTTTGTATATATGGAATACAGAATCATATTTCACATATCTGTTAAGGGGTTCATGTTTTCTCCTATTTCATAGATTGTCTTTTTATTGATTGATTCCTTTGCTTTGCAGAAACTTTGTAGTTCCATTGGTTTATTTTTACTTTATGTTGCCTGTTCTTTGGGTATCAAATACAAAAAATCATTGCGAAGACAAATTTCAATGAGCTTCTTCCCTATGTTTTCTTATAGGAGTTTTGTGGTTTCAGATCCACATTAAAGTCTAATACATTGGGCATCAATTTTTGTGTATGGTGTAAGAAAAGGTGTAATTTTAATAATTTACATGTGGATAACAAGCTTTCTCAACAACATTTATTAAAGAGATTATCCTGTCCCCATTGTATTCTTGGTGCCTTTGTCAAAAACCAGTTGATTGTATATGCAGAAATAAATCCATCATTTTTAACATTTACAGAGCACTATTTTGTATGCCCCATGATTTACTAATTTCCTGTTGTTTCCAGCTTAAGTGTCTAGAATTTTCATAGGCCAGTTACTATCCTTTCAGAACTTTTTCTCAGATGTGAAAAGGAGATAATTCTACTTTTGTCATAGAGTTGTATGAATTTATCACCACATATATTAAATGCCTAATGTTAGCTCAATGCTTAATGTTAGCTGTTATTATTATTCTATAAAATGTATGGGATCAGCAGAAAGGGAACTGGAAAAGGGAAATGGTGTGAGATCATTACTGTAGAAACAGGAGAGGGATCCCTGGGTGGCGCAGCGGTTTAGCGCCTGCCTTTGGCCCAGGGCGCAGTCCTGGAGACCCGGGATCGAGTCCCACATCAGGCTCCCGGTGCATGGAGCCTGCTTCTCCCTCTGCTTGTGTCTCTGCCTCTCTCTCTGTGACTATCATAAATAAATAAAAATTAAAAAAAAAAGAAACAGGAGACTGAAATTCACTTAAGTTAGTATGTAGCATACAGGAACAAAGACATGTAGTAGCTCCAGATTAAAAGATCTATGCCTAAATTAACTTAGTCATTATGTTTATAATCAATATCCAGCAGAATTTTTATTTCTTAGTTTTTGTAAAGATTTTATTTATTTATTCATAAGAGACAGAGAGAGAGGGAGAGACATAGGCAGAGGAATGAAGCAGGCTCCTCATAGGGAGCCCTATGCAGGACTCAATCCCAGAATCCCGGGATCATGCCCTGAGCCAAAGACAGATGCTCAATGCTGAGCCACTCAGGCATCCCAGAATTTTTATTTTTGATGGTTTACAGTTTTTTTCACTATATTTTTCTTATTTATAAGTCAAATGGAAACAGAAGGAATTAAAATATGAAAGATATTCTTTACCACTGTCAGAACTCTATGCCTGCATGATTGAGAATGTTAACAGTAAACAGGATGGCAAAATGAAGAACTTATCCATCACACTCCAACACAGGGAGCGAAAGTTAGTAAAAACAGTAAAAAAAAGTTATTACCCTCCCCTCATTTCTGTTACCTCATTAACAGCCTTTAGATAGAGATGCATAACTGCATCCCCATATTTTTATTAAAAAATTTTCAGGGGGATCCCTGGGTGGCTCAGCGGTTTAGCGCCTGCCTTTGGCCCAGGGCGCGATCCTGGACTCCCGGGATGGAGTCTGCTTCTCCCTCTGCCTGTGTCTCTGCCTCTCCCTCCTCTCTCTCTCTCTATGTTTATAACGAATGAATGAATGAATGAATCTTTAAAAAAATTTTCATAACTGTATTTTCCAACTTATTAGGGTTTTTCATATATTCTTTTATTGTATATATCTTTACTTTATCTCATTGTGTCTCTAGTTGGCCCTTGACCCTT